GAAAGTTCCCCAGTCATGAACATACATGCACTGAACAGCAGGGCCAAAACACACACGAGGCGCTGACAGAACTGAACAGAGAAAAAGGCCCAGTAGTAGTTGGAGATTCCAATATCTCAGCTCCAATAAAGAGTAGGACAATTAGCCAGAAGATCCACAAAGAAATGAAGACTTGAACAATCCTATAATCCAACTAAGCCTAACAGATGTAAATAAGCATCCCGTACAACGTTCCTCATGGTTATCACAGTGTGACGCAGGATTTCATACATGAATCAGTTAACACGTGTTCATCGCTGTGTGCCTGGAACTACGCATTTCAGCACAGGAGCACAGAAAACACCCAGCGCCAACTTCAACATGAAATAACTTGGAATCACGACTGCGTGCAGTCTCATTTTAGACAGAGAGGGCCTAGATACAGGCATTAAAAATAGGATTTACAGAAAACAACAGAGTTCTTCCCCGTCAGTTTCAGGACTTGTAAACCTTCTGTCTTAGGCAAGGTGCTTTCCAATATGGTCCTTGGTTTCCTAAGCTATAAATGGTGGAAAGTGCATAAAATGATCCTGCAGGACCTGCAGCAGTTAACGTAATGGCTATGTCGCTGGACTCCCATGTAGTCGACTGCGGTTCGAGTCCCAGACCCGGTGGCTTAAACTCATGCTGGGCGCACGTGCGTGCGTGCCCAAGACCCTGAGAGGAGAATGGAGGAGAAGGGACTACACCATGGCCATCCCTCCTGGGGGGTGATTTCTCGCTTTCTGTCTCTCTATCTCTCTCTGTCTTTCTGGCTGGCATATGCGCCCTATAGCAAAAATCTCGGCAACAACAACAAAAAATGATGCCTACAAAGAGAAAGGTGTTCAAACAATAATTTTCAGTGTCACACAAACACACATACATACACACATATACACACACATAGACACACATACACGCACATACACACACACACAATATACTTAGCAGCTGTGGTTGAGTAATTCAGGTTTAGTCAAGGAACACACTGTACAGGAAGGCAGGTCTGAGCCAGGTTTTAGGCAGAGAGTAGCATCAGAGAGAACCTCACGTGCCAATGAGAAATTAGACTGGCTAAAAGCACTGGAATATTCACACGCTGTGTGGCCAGAAGACGGGAAAGGTTCTTTCCAAAACTATCCCTCATATTATTTCCTTTGTTTTTTCTAAGATGTTCCCCCACCTCCAGCCCTGGCTCCCACAGGGTTTGTGTGCTCACCAGAGAGAGACACAGAAAAGGTGAAATCACCCCCAGGAAGGCTGGCCATACTGTCATCCCTTCCCCTCCTGGGATTTCAGGCATGCTCACACGCACACATCCGGCACGATTTTCAAGCTGCCGGATCTGGGACTTCAACTGCAGTTGGCCTCATGGGAGCCCACGCCACCTCTGGTCCCAGATATTTCCTTTGTTTTTACACCCTTATAAAGTCTTTCATGTTATAAAACATGACAATCGCTTTACTTTGAATAGCTAAACACTATCTGGATAGGGCATATATGTCTATAGCAACATCAGTCAATGCCAATTTTGGAATAGATATCATTATAAAAAATAGTTATATACCTAATACATAGTAAGGCAAATAATACATATTTGTATCTTGGCAATTCAAGAAAACTTCCCAAGGTTAGTCCTTCATAAATGCAATAGGCAATTTCCCAGTGGAATTGTCTGATATTTAGAAATATTAAACATTATGGTATCCCAGCTCTTTCAAAGATCAGCTTACAAAGCAATGGAATGAAGACTGGCGCTGTGATGCAGTTGGTTAAGCACTGTGCTCGGAAAGTCAGGTCCCACATGGCCAATCATGGTTCAAGTCCCAGCCTTGGGGTTGCAACAACATGCCAGGTTTATGTGTGTACATGCCCAAAGTCCTGGTGGGAAGGGAAAATGGGGTAAAGGAAATTGCAGCATGGCCACGTCCCACTGGGGGCTGTGCATACCCGCTCGCTCATGTTCTCTGTCTCTCTCTGGCAAGTGTCCTCTGGCAAAAAAAGAAAAAAGAAGAAATAAAGCAATGCAGTGAGTAATTACTTTAGCAATCACAAAAATTCCTTAATGAAGAAATGAAAAGAACAACTGTCTTATGTGTATGCTAATGACAATGTGCATTTGAGGTGGATTATCTGAGGATGATGATGAGCTTCTGAGAACTACCGGTTAACCTGACTAAGTGTCTTTAGTGAAAATAAGATGCAGGTAAAGATTTTGAGATAAAACTTTTCCATGAAATGTACATACAAAGTAATATGTTTTTTAAGAACTATATCACTTTACATCATTTGCGATTTTAAACTAACATGAATAACTGAATAAATTCAAATTATAAATAGTTATCAGTCTCATCTACATCCCTGAACATTTTATATATTCAGGCTGTTCGAAATTCTCACAGTGGAAGAGGTCTTCTCTGGGCACACACAATAAGAACACAGAGATGGCAGGGTGGGGGCCAGCAGGTGGCATGGTGATTAAGGTGCTGGACTCCTACATGGCTGACCACAGTTTGTGTACTAGTTGGACCCAGTGGCTTGAAACTCATGCTGGTCACGTGTGTCCCAAGTCCTGAGAGGATAATAGATGGTGAGGTGCCATACCCCCTGAAGATGGGGAGTGATTTCTTACTTTTCCTCTCTCTGTCTCTCCCTGTCTCTCTCCAGCAAGTACAAATGCCCTATGGAAAACCTAAAAAAGAAAAGAAAAAAGAAAAAAAAAAAAAAAACAGATGTCAAGGTGGAGCTTCTTAAAGAAGAGATGTTCAACATGAGGTCAAAGCAAGATATGTAAGGCATGTGAGGGCAAGATTCCTGCCACGAACTACCAGATAATGAGGGCTAGGCTGGTGAGAGAGTGGGGTGTGCAGAAGACTGCATGCAGGAAAGATGGACTATCTCCTTTGACAGCCCTTCGATTTCCTGTAGCTAATTACTTTAAAGTTGTAGAGGCTTGGGAATCCATGAATAATGGTACCAAATGCAGATGCTGAGAAAATAAGCAAATTCAGACAAAACGAGATCATTTCTCACATGTTGACCATGGGACAATGGCTGACACTGAGGTCGACACATGTGACAGGCCAGTTTTACAGTGGACTAGCCCAAACTTCCTCCAGATAATTCAGTAGTGCAAAAGTAACCACGGACTGCCTGCTATTGGCAAAAATCAAGAGGACTAGGAATGATTTTTTTTTTTAAGAGAGAGATTTTTGCTGTAGAGTACATGCAAACACCGAAGAAAGAGAGAGACAGAAAGCAAGAAATCATCCCCCAAGGGGACGGCCACACACGAATCCCTTCTCTTCATCCTACTCTCAGGATCTTGGGCATGCACACACACACACGCCTGGTTTGAGTTTCAAGCCTCTGAGTCCAGGACTTAAACCGGATGGAAGTCCAGCGGCTTAACCACTGTGCCATATACTGGTCCCAGGGATGAATTCTTAAACGGACAAACTCAGTCTAGAAACTTAAAATGCATCTGAGTTAAGAGGTTAAGTAGAAGCTCTAGAATTGGTAATGAGAACGTTTCGGGGTTAATGATCTCATTGGAGGTTGGGCTAGAGGATTAGAGGCATGGTGACCATAATCCTGTTTGAGTTGGAAGCATGGCAGTGCTGACGAAAACAGAGGAATATAAACCCCACTTTACCCAACTTCGTTCTACTACCAACAGGGAAAAAAAAAATAAAGAACAAACTACATAAATAGCACTTAATGCCATGCAAAATGAGAGTGCCTATAAGTAATATTTAGTACATGAAATAGGAATGGAGTTTAGGTTAACAGCTCAGAACTGGGGGTCAGCAAGTGGCATGGTGGTTAAGGTGCTGGACTCCCACATGGCCGACCATGGTTTGAATCCTGGATCTGGTGGCTTGAAAATCATGCCAGGCATGTGTGCGTTATGTGCTCTAAATCCCAGGAAGAGAATGGAAGAGAAGAGACTGCAGTAGGGCCACCCCCTAGGGGGTGATTTCTCTTTTCCTCTCACTCTCTCTCTAATGAATACACATGCTCTATGGCAAAAACCTTAAAAAAAAAAAAAAAGTCAAGACCTAAAGTAGGGGTTTATTCAGCATCAAAGCCAGAAAACCAGACAAGCTTTTGGAATAAAAGAGGTTTACCAAAAGCTAAAAAGCATATTCTTGAAAATCTAAAGATTAAAGGCTGTTCTAATGTCTCTTACTGAGGTTTTTACTTAAAAAATATAGCAAGGTATAAACTATACCATCCAATATGGCAGCTGATAGTAACATATAGCTATTTATATTTAAATGGATTAAAAAATAGATTTAAAATTCAGTTCTTCAGTCACATGAGCCACAGTCCGAGTGCCCTACATATGGCATGTGGACGCCATATTGGAAAGCCCAACTATGGAGCAGCCCTGCCAGACCTGCTGCTGAAGCGTCACAGACAAGGAGACAGGGACGACATAGTCCGATTCTGTTGTTCGTTTGTTTGTTTGTTTTAGAGAGATTTTTGTTCTAGGGTGTGTGTGCTCACTGGAGAGACAGATATGCGATTACACCATCTGTTGGTCCCGATGGTTTTGAAATTCTAAAAGGGACATACACAACCTGCACAGAAACATCTTTACCTTGACCATAATGATGGTAACTCTTCTTGTAAATCAACATTAAACTCTTCAAATACTTTCTGTGCTTTCTGAAATTCCTCTTCTGCCTAAAAATGATACATTGCATGGGTTTACACTAAAAACCAAAGCCATTTCTACATACAAGGATACTATTTAATATAAAATAGGATCAGCCTGTGGCATCCTGAAAAGAAGAGCTATGTGGTTAAAATTTACATCATATTCTTTCTTAATTTAACATGAAATATTAAGACTCATCAAAACAGGAAACTAGACTGATTACTATTGTTATTTTCATAGTTTTAGTTAATTCATTCATTCTACCAAAAACATATGTCATCTGCCTGTCACACAGACATAGCTGTGCTCTGGATTCTGGACATGGAGGCTGCCCCAGGAACCCCCAGGCCAGTGGAAGTCTAACTCATTACATTCCAAGACACATTGACAACAGACACTCCCAGTCTGTTATGGATGGTACCACTGAGAAAGACGGTGTAGAGAAGACCCACAGAGGAGGTGACGCTTCACCTGATTCTCTGCCCAAGGAGGAGGTGGGGAAGCCATCACAGTGCATCAGGTGGGGCTTCTTGGGCTGTAGCTCTCTGCTACTCACCTTGTGAACTTGCTAGGTTGCTTTGCCTTTCTGCACCTCGCAGGCTGCTGCGAGTATTAAGGAAAAGCAATGTAGCTGAGGTATTGCTCAGGACTTCTGGAGTTAAGGAGGCCCCTGGTGAAGGGTAGCTGTTACCATGGCTGCTCAGGAACTGATGTGCGGTATGGAGACTCTGGCTTAGGGAGTGTGCATGGATGAAGGAGTGGAGGGGAAGACTTGCAAAGGATGGACAGATGAGTTACGACCCGATTGCGAAGGTCTTTCATGATATGCAAAGAAATGGAAAATTACTTCTACAGGAAATGGGAGCCATTAAAACACTTAAGCAGTAAAGAAAATATCTAGATTTGCAATGGAGAAAGACCATCTGGGCAGCCACGTGTAGGCACCCAGGGCAAGGTAGGACCAGAAGTACAGGGAGGAGTTAGTAGGTGGCTTTGGTGAAGCTGACGCCCGCGAATGGCTGACCCAGGGTAAAAGGTGTTAAAATGGGTTCTCTAATAGAGAACTAATGTTATGTAAGACTAGCACGTGTCTGCTCTCCCTGACACTCACACGTTATGTCTGAGAATTCTGATTCCGCACTTCAGGGGCGAGCATGGTCCCAGCTACGTCAGGAATGGCAGATACACTGCTGCTCCCTCTGATCTCTGTAACACTGCAGGGGACCAAAGCTTATTCCAAATCAAAGTGAGTCGGTGTCACCTACGCGAGCTCTATGACAACACACAAAACCTTATTTTTATTAAAAGCAACCCAAAGCAGCCCACAGCATTTCTTTCTTCAGTTCATTTCTGTCATATTTCAATCTTATTTTTAAAAAGAAACATTTAATTTTTCAAAGCAAGGCTGCTTCGTGTCATAACACATGGAGCGTGGCGTTACCAGGGACCAGCCCTACCTTAGAGATCCGGCCCTCGTCCTTCCGCTTGGAGCTCTGCAGAGCTTCGAGGTGGTGGCGGGCACTGTCGTAGTCAACCAGCTTTCGGCTGCGCTTGGCGATGCGGTTCTGCCAACAAGGAGACAGACACGTGCACTGAGAGACATCGTCACGGGCCCTTCCTGCGACTGCCAAAGGCCACCATGCTTTTCTCGTCCAGAGCTGCAGAGGGTCCTGACTGGAGACTAAGGCGAGCCAACATTTCAGCAGATAACTACCCCGAGAAGTCAGGTGGCAACCTCCAATCCTCTGTGTGGGAACCATTAGCCAAATATCTTCCCATCTGATCATAATTAGGCAAATTATGAAACGTCAAAGGCAGAACTTGCAGTCAAAGACAAGAAAAAACCCAGAATTAGTTGCAGAAGTGGATAAACTTATGCTCTCTATTTGACTCTAAGTCTTCTTTCTCTCTCTCTTTTTTTTTTAAGAATTATTTTATTTAACTTTACTTACTTATTTTTAATTTGACCAGAGAGGGACAGAACAAGAGAAGACAGAGAGAGAAGGTGAGGAAGCTAACTTCCAGGCCCAAGACTCGAATCACAGTCAGCCATGTGGGAGTCTGGCGCCCTTAGCCACCACACCACCTGTTGGCCCTCTTCTTCTTTAAATGAGAGAGAAACAGGAATTTCTGACAGGGACTCACCATGCCATGATCTTCCTGCCGGCCTCCGCTAGCTAGGATTACAGGGAGATGCTGCCGTGCCCAGCCTGTTTGGGTTGGCCACTGAACCAAACACCGCTCTCCCCATACGGCCTCAGTCTTAGACAAAGGTGTCCTTCCATCTGTGCCACACAGCAGGGCCTTCTACTCAGAATTTCTAAATGTTCCATTTTGAAAGTAAAAAATTGTATTTGGCATGGGCTGGCCCCATAGCCTAGTACCAAATCCCACATGGCTGGCCACGCAATTTGCATCTCGGCCCTGGCAGCTAGAAAGCATGCCAAGCACATGTGCACACCCAAAATCCTGACATGACGGAGAAATGGAGGAGAAGGGATTGTGTGACCACGCCCCACCAGAGGGTGCATTCTCTCTCTCCCTCTCTCTTTCTCTCTCTTGCAAGAACATGTACTCTCTGGCAATTAACAAACAAAGGATTTCGCTTTATAATTCTAATAACATTCATACTTAAAACAAATTTACTCCCTAGGAAATCTCTTTTCCCAGACTGTTTCTCAATCCTCTATTCATTATAATTACCTGGGGCTGAAGAGTCACGTTAGTAGGTGTCCCAGACACAGGGAGACTGCATGAGAAGCCAGGCTCTTTCCATGGGCCTCCACTACGTACGAGGTGACCGGACACTCCCTTGCAGTGCATGGGAGGAGCTCTAGGGCTTCTGGGGAAGAGCATGAAGCCTCTTTATTTCCATGGACTGTTTTCTCTTACAAAAGCTTTGAGCTGCTTCAGGAGGAAATACCAACCCCTTCTGCACACAGAAGGCAGAAAAGATCCACTGTTCTGGGGGGGAGCACAGAAGCAAAACTAATCTGGCTCTGGAGAAGGGAGAGAAAGCTCTGTCCCTAGAACCCAGCAGGGGGCGTGGTCGTTAAATCACTGGAATACCCACATGGCTGAAAATGGTTCTAGTCCTGGACTTGGCAGCTTGCTTGCTCTCTCTCTCTCTCTCTCTCTCTCTCTCTCTCTCACACACACACACACACACACACACGCACACACACACAACTCATGTAAAAATATAGTAATCATAATAAATAAAGAAATTATTCTAAAAAAATAATAAAAAAAAACCTCTGTCCCCTAGGATGCAGGCTAAGATAATTACTGCAGGTGAAAAGGTAAGAAAAACTCTGAACCCATAGAAGAGGGGCATAAAGCCACCCTAGCCCCAGAGCTGAACCCTAAGCAGAGGTGAGGAGGGGCATAAAGCCACGCTAGCCCCAGAGCTGAACCCTAAGCAGAGGTAAGGAGGGACATAAAGCCACGCTAGCCCCAGAGCTGACCCCTAAGCAGAGGTCTGCTCTCACTTGGTCAGAAGCTAACTCCTGCTCAGGACAAACCATAGCCATAAGGCCAACTTTGCCAAGAGCAAGGCTGGGGAACCACCCTGCCTCCACCACCAGGCCAACATGGAGAACCAAGCAACAGCCAACCCCTGGGCAAGGACACGGACAGGGGCAGACCCCTGCCAGGCAGACACACAGAGTACCTGGAACCTGAGAGGGGGCAGCAACACCGAGAAAAGCCCTATGGCACTCAAGAGCCACATACTCAGATCAAAGAAGAAGCTGAAGAGACTTCAACACAAGAGTCTGAAAATCTTGTGGATGTTAGGATGTAAGCACCAGGCACTGGGAGCCTAATGCTAGGGGAGTCTGAAGCCGCAGAGCGCTGACAGGAACAATCGCAACAACAGAAACGAACTCCAGCTCAAACCCTGATCGGATGAATTCCAATGCTCACACTGCTACTTTACCTCGGTCATCACCATTCTGTGTGTGAGGTGTGACATTTGATAGAAACAAACAAAACCTGAAGATTTTAATGACCCTGGAGATAAGATTAAGCCATCAACACAACCAGATTCAAACATGACCCAAGTGTCGGAAATAAGAATACATATTTTAAAATAACTATTCATTAATATGTTAAAGTGTCTATTTTGGGGGTCAGCAGGTGGTATGGTGGTTAAGGTAGGGAACCTGAGTCCTGGACCCTGCAGCTTGAAAATCATGCCGGGTGTATGTGCACCATGCCCAAATCCCAAGAAGAATGGAAAAGAAGGGATTGCTGTATGGCCATCTCTTTCTTGGGGTAATTTCTTACTCTCCCCTCTCTCTCTAGCAAGCGTATATACCCAATGTAAAAGTAAAAAAAAAAAATTGAAAATGTACACAACATATATAAACAGATGAAAAAACATTAGCAGTCATATGGAAACCAAATGGAATACAAGAAATTTTTAAAAAGATATCAGAGAGGAAAAATGTCTTCAATGTGCTCATTGCTAGACTCAAAACAGGTGAGGAAAGAAACAGTACATTTGAAGATAGATCAAGATAAATTATCCCTATTGAAACACAAAGGGAAAAAAAGAGCTGCCAAAAACCCTAGAAAATTGAGCGTACAAGATGTATAACACAGTATCGAATGGCGTAACATTATGCGATTGAAGCTGCTGAAAGAGATGAGTGGAACAGTCCAGAGAAATATCTGAAGCAATAGTGACTGAGAATTTTTAAAAATAATGAAGACAAAAAAGTACAGATTCAAGAAATTCAGAGACTATAGGAAGGGAAAATATCAAACAATACACATCTAGACACATCATAGTCAAACTTAAAATCAATAATTAAACAATAAGTAAATAGGGGCCAGGAGGTGATAGTGGGTAAGGCGCTGGACTCCCACATGGCCAACAACAGTTTGAGTCCCTGACCAAGAGGCTTGAAACTCACGCTGGGAGCATTTGCCTACATGCCCCAAATCCTGAGAGGAGAACGGAGAAGAAGGGATTGCAGCATGGCCATCCCCCGGGAGGGTGATTCCTTGCTCTCTGTGTCTCTGGCCCACACTTAGAACCTATAGTAAAAGATCTCTCTAAAACAACAAACAAACAAGGTGAGAATTACTGAAAGCTAACCTTCAGAAACTATACAAGCCAAAGCACAATGGAATAGCATCTGCAAAGTACTGAAAATTAAAAATAAAAAGAAATCTGCAAACTCAGAATTCTGTTCTCAGAATACCTTCCAAAGGTGAAGGTAAAATAAAGTGTTTTCCAGACAAACAAACACTGAAAGAACTGACTGTCAGTCTAAGAACTTTAATATCAGGTAGAGCTAAATAAAGAAATGAGTAACCAGAAATGGTGAAAATCAATCAATAAGTAAGACTTTGTTCTCTTAGAGACAGAAACGGTGTCTTCTGAGGTCTATAACATAAGAAAAGGAAGGAGGGAAGACTGGAAGTGAGCTGTCGTAAGGTTCTTCGGCGATGCCTGAGGTGGTGTAAATTATCTGACATTAGATACGACAAGTTAGAAATGTTATATATACTGTAGAGCACTATGCAGCCATAAAAGTCAATGAGCTCTGTCTTTCGATACAAAATGGATGAATATAGAAGACGTAATGCTGAGCGCAGCAAGCCAGACTGTGAAAGGCAGGCATGATATGCCCCCGCTCAATATATATCGAATGTCTGCACTTCTTTGCAGAAACTGAAAGACGTAACAGCAGGGATGGCAAGTGTAGACATCAGAGACTATTCGGGAAGAGATGGATAGTAGAGGGAGGAAAAGAGGGGCTCAGGGAAAAAACACTTAACAGACACAAGAATGGAAAGTTATCTGTTGAGGATGATGTATATGGGAATATCTTGGGCTTGATTAATTTGCAATGCATATATGCTTTGGAAACCATGCTGTACAGTGTAAAAAGTATGATTATTATTTTTTTTTTGGAGAGGTTTTTGCTATAGGGTGTGTGTGCTCACCAGAAAGATAGAGAGACAGAAAGCGAGAAACCAACCCCTCCCCCCCAAAACCCCGAGGCGGGGGGTGGGGGGAATGGCCGTGCTATAATCCCTTTTCCTCCATTCTCCTCTCGGGATCTTGGGCATGCACGCACATGTGCGCAACATGAGTTTAAGCCACTGGGTCTGGGACACAAACCGTGGTTGACTACATGGGAGTCCAGTGATGTAGCCATTACACCAACTGCTGGTCCCAGTACAATGATTATATACAAATAAAAAATATCATAGTCAGGGGCCAGGAGGTGGCGTGGTAGTTAAGGCACTAGACTCCCACATGTCTGAATGCAGTGTGAGTCTTTCACCCAGTGACTTCAAAATCATACTGGGTGCTTGTGTGTGTATGCCCATAATCATAGGAGGAGAAGGGATTATGGCATGGCCATCACCCCCAGGGGGTGACTTCTCACTTTCCCTCTCTCTCTTTCCAGCAAGTACATGTGCCCTATGGCAAAAAAATTAAAAATAAAAATAAGAAAATAAATTGTCAGGTAACCACTAAAAAAATGTTAAATAAGGAGGTATAACTAAGAAGAAAATACTAATTCCTGTTCCCCACACTAAC